CTGCTGGGAGATGGGTAACAGGAAAGAGCCTATGAGTTGACTAGCAATGTCTGCCAGTAGACTCGAGGATGGGGGATGAGGGGGCCAGTATTGGCCTTCAAAGCACTCATTTGGCACCAGTCCTCCTCCATTTCCCACCAACCTTCCCACCTTTTTATGTGGTGAGAAAACTGACGGGCGTCCTGGGTTAAAAGCCCACAGATGCCCCAGATTCATTGGTCCAGGCTTCCTCAGCCCCTCCCCAGCTTAGCCGCTGAACCTTGCTCCCTCCGTTCTTCACAGGCTCTTGAGCAAACCATGTGTCCGGCCCTTTGACGCCCTGGAGCTTACGGGCCTCTGCCAGCTCGTAAGTAAGCTTCTTCATGCGGCACCGGTGAGGAGGCCTGAGGATTTGACTTCTTCGGGTCCACCATGGGGGGTGGGGATGCAGGCTGGGTTTGACTGGTGTGTGGATGGGCAGGAGGCTGGGATGACACAGTGGCAGCAAGTGGCACCTTTCGGTTTAGAAACTGCATGTGTTTTTACCAGGCGCTTGTATTGTATCATCTCCAGGGAACTCCTCGATCAGAACTTTCGCCCAAAGTTAGCTTATGAGTTCTATTGTACAGAGAAGGAACGGGAGTGCTTTTTTGCGAATAAGAACGAGGAAGGAGGGATGGATGGATGCGATGCGGGAGACTTGGATGGCCCATGATGGATGCATGGATGAGCAAAAAGCTGGCGGCTGAGATGCGACAAATGGATGGGATGCCATGCAGCTTACAAGGGTGGGCCGTGGACTAGACAATGGATGGTGGGTGAGTAGGAAGGGTGGGTGGATGGACAAATGGATGGGGTGGATGAGTAGAGGGTAGTGGTGGGGTTGGACAAGTGGAGGGTGATTGGAGTGACAAGGGTGGGCGGTGGATAGAGCAAATGGATGGTGTGCGGTAGACAAATGGTAGGGGTGAATTGGAGTAGAGGAGTGGGTTGGATAGAAATGATGATGAACAAGGTGTTGATTGGACAAATGCCAATGGGTGTGAGTTAGAATGTATGGACCAAATGGATGGGCTGAAGTCCAGGTGTGTACAAATGAGTGATGAGTAGAAAGGGTGTGGGTTGGAATGGACAAACTGGGAGGTGGGAATGAGTAGAAGGCGGATGTGGATAGACAAATGGATTGGGTGAAATGAGTAGAAGGCAGATGGAATGAGTACGATATGGCATGAGGGGATGAGTGAAGGGTGGGTGGATGGACAAATGGGATGGGTGGATGAGTAGAGGTGGTGGGATAGACGAGAATGGAGGTGCATGGACGCAGAGGGTGGGTGGATGGACAAATAGATGGGGTGAATGAGTAGAAGGGTGGGTGGGTGGACAAATGGATGGAATGGATAGAAAGGTGGGATGGATAGACAAATGGATGGGTGAATAGTAGAAGGCCGGATGGGTAGACGAATGGATGGCGTGGATGAGTAGAAGGGTGGTGGATGGACAAATTGGATGGTGGATGAGTAGAAGGTGGGTGGTGTGGACAAATGGATGGGTGGGTGAGGTAGAAGGGTGGGTGGATGGACAAATGGATGATGGATGGAGTAGAAGGGGTGGGTGGATGGACAACATGATGGGTGGATGAGTAGAAGGCGGGCATGGATAGAAAATGGATGGGGTGAATGAGAGTAGAAGCCGGCAGATAGACGGAATGGATGGTGTGATGATGTAGTAATGTGGGTGGATGGACAAATGGATGTGAATGAGTAGAGGGTGGTGGATAGACGAGATGGCATGGTGCATGAGTAAGAGGGTGGGTGGATGGACAATAGATGGGGTGAATGAATAGAAGGTGGGTTGGGTGGACAAATGGATGGGGTGAATGAGTAGAAGGGCGGATGGATAGACAAATGGATGGGGTGAATGAGTAGAAGGGCGGATGGATAGACGAATGGATGGGTGGATGAGTAGAAGGGTGGGTGGATGGACAAATGGATGGGTGGATGAGTAGAAGGGTGGGTGGATAGACAAATGGATGGGTGGATGAGTAGAGGGTGGGTGGATGGACAAATGGATGGGGTGAATGAGTAGAAGGGTAGGAGGATCAACAAATGGATGGGTGGATGAATAGGAACAACCAACCACAGGAGTTTAGTTCTGGGCCCTGGCAGGGATCTTGACTTGTTCGAGTAAGAACCACAGAATGCAGACAGTTGGGTGGGTAAGTTGGCAACGAGGGAACCGTGAGCTCTGGATGAAGTATGAAGCCCTGGGAGTGTGGGGTGAGGCTCTGCCTCCCAGCCCAGCAAATCCGCCCCCTCTTCCTGCATCTCTGCCATCACCGGCCTCTTGGTCACCAGAGCTGGACATGTGGATACCCCTGCCTATCCTACCGGCCACCAAGTCCTGCATGCATCGAGCCCTGCATCCACAGAGCCCTGGGCTCTGTGCCCATCTCTCTCTCCTTCAGCCACTGCCCTGGCGAGGTCACTGTCATGACTCAACCGGGTGACTTGCACAGGTGTCCTGGCTGGGTTACCAGCCTTCATCTCAGCTCCATCCAAGCCCATCTCTGGTCTGCCAACTTCCATAATCTTTCCAAAGGCCAATCCCAGCCCCTCGCTGCACCCCCACCCTCCCTCCCACCCACCTCTGTTGGAAGCTTCGAGATTAAATCCTTGCTTTGGACAACCAAACCTGCTGATCTGGCCCATGCATGCCACCAACCCTCTGCACCTCCAGCCCTAAGGAGCATTTGCCAGTTGCTCGAAGGCACCGTGAGCTCTCCAGCCTGCAGACTCCTGGACGTCCTGCTCTTTCGTTGCCTGGAATGTTCGTGCCCGCAGTGTCCGCTCACTGACACTTCCTCCGGGAAGCCCTCCCTGATACTCTTGGGACAAGGTCACCTGTTCCCCCTCCGTTCTCCCCCTGCCCACTGCCTGGCACCTCTATCCTACTTGATTATAAAGGCTGGGTTTAATCATCTGTTGTCATCATTGTCTCCCAAGTAGCGCCACGAGGACAAGGGACCGTGAGATTCCATCTGGGGATGTCAGAGACTTGCTCGGAGAAAGGGACCTTCCTACTTTTAAATTTAAAAACAGCGGCAACAATATCTCCTTCTGTCGCTCAGGGGCTTGTGCTGCCCAAACGCCATCTCATTTTACCTGCACCACGCTCTACGAGAGAGCAGCCATCACGCCCATTTCAGAGATGAAAACGATGAGGCTCGGAGAGCTTCGGGAACTTGTCGCCTAGGTCACCCAGGGATGCAAACCCCGACTGGGCTCTTCCGCGCCGGGCACCCATCCCAGAAAGACCTGCCCGACGATGCACTTGCTATTTTGTTTGAAATCAAGCTGCCTTTTCTTACAGGACAAAAGGGGACCAGAGAAACATTCTACTTGAAGTTGCTTTGGTGTGCTGTCTTTTTCTAATAGACAACAAGATAAATAACTACTTTTTTTTTCCAAATAAAAGTTTATCCACGTGCTATGAATAACCGCACTTGGTAAGCCCTTCTGAAGCACGGAGAATCGTGGGATGTTCCATCTCTGGGTCTGATGGGGGAGCCCATCCCCCGAGGCTCCCCGGGGTTCACAGCGTGGGAGCCTGGATTTATCGCATGCTCTCTCCGGGGGTCCAGGCCAGCCAGTACTGTGCAGTCAGATGCCTCCAAAAGGCCCCCACTGGGCCAATTTGCGCCTTTTTCTGCCCAGGATGTGCTGGAAGAAAGGTACGAGCTCGCAACCAAAGAATGAGGCCCCCTCCCTCAGTGTACCTGCTGGCGGGGAGCTGGGACAGCCTGTACCACGGCCGTCCCCACTGCCCCCCTCCCCAGTGCTGGCCGGGCTCCCACCCCTGCCTCCTCTGATGGAGGCCAGACCCAGGAGAAGGAGGGAGGCCCGGCCCAGGCCAAGAGGCTGTCCTGACGTGTTTATATTTACAGGAGGATGTAAACCAGGGACACCAGGAAACCTTTGGAGGCAGTGGCAGAAGAGACAGACAGGAATCAGCAGGAGGTTGTCCAGGCACCAAGCATAGCAATGGAGCCATTTGGGGCAAAGGGGAAATTTAAAAGGAGGCCACTGCCGCTGACGTCACAGGAGGGCCAAGTCCACCTGGCCCAGCCAGGGGCAAGAGTTGTGGCTATTTAGAAGGAGACTGAAAAAGAGGGAACCCTGGCGCTTAAAGGGCAGGAGGAGGGAAGAGGAGGCAGAGAACTAACCGCCAAGGAGGAGGGAAGGAAATGAGGATGGTAGGGAGATTCAAGGAGAAGGCACGCTGTCGGAAAACAGTATGGCAAGTCCTCGAAAAGTTAAACATAGAATTATCGTGCAATCTAGCAATTCCACTTCTGGGTATTTTCCCAGAAAAATTGGAAGCAGGGACTCACGGATATTTGTCCACCCTTGTTTATAGCAGTGTTATTCACAACAGCCTAAAGGTGGGAACAGTCTTAGTGTCCACGGATGGGCGGATGAACACACAAAATGCAGTCCAGCCAGACAGCGGGACAACATTCAGCCTGATAAAGGGACCAGGCTCTGACACAGGCTACCACGTGGACGGAGCTTGAGGACATCGTGCTCAGTGAGAGAAGCCAGACGCAGAAGGACACATCCTCACAGGAGGTCCCTAGAGTTGTCGGATCCACAGAGACGGGAAGTAGGGTGGTGGGTGTCAGGGGCTGCGGAGGGGGTGTGTTTCATGGGGACAGAGCGTCAGTTTGGGAAGACGAGAAAGTTCTGGACACAAATGCACAACAATGCATGCCATCGAACTGTGCACTTAAAAATGGTTACAATGGCAAATTTCATGTTGTGTATATTTCATCACAATAAAAAGAAGACAAAAGGGGCCAGACCTGTAGAGAAATCAACATGGGTGAGAGCAAAGAAAAGCTCAAACCGGACGTAGCCCGCCAGCCACGGTCTGCAGCTGACCCAGGGCCTGGCTTTGGGCTGGTGGGCATTTTTCCACTTCGAGTTGGAAGCTTCTCTGAAAATTCTCCACCCCTCGCTTTGGCAGGGATCTCCCCGTTCCTCCGCACCTGGCCGTGGCTGGTCAAATTGTCCGGGGGTAGGGTTGCCAGACTGAACAGATGAAACTGCAAGACACTCAGATTCGGATGTCAACTATTACAATATTTGGGGCATACCTCTAATAAAGCAGTCATGACTTATCTGAAATTTAGATTTTACTGAGTGTCCTGTATTTTAACTGGCAATGCTATGAGTAGGGGCCGGGTTCTTGTGGAATACATGAAAGAGGCCAGGTCCTCTCAGAGGCATGCTTCGGGCCACCGATTGGGAGAGTCCATCAAGAGTGTCTGCGATCACATAGATGCCCGGAACCACATCCCAGCACTGGTCTCTCGTGGAGCAATGGAAGAGGCCCACCTGCCCATCAAACCCTGTCAGAGGATTGTCCTAACAAAAGCCTGGAAAAGGCCAGTCCCTTTCCTGCAGATCCTGACAGCCCAGAGAAGGGGCACCTTACTACCCTTGAGGAATCAGGAAGGCAGCCTGGAAGGCATGCCGAGCTGGGTTTTGAAGGATGCATAGGAGTTCTCCAGCCAGACTCTGAATGGGGGTGGGTGGGTTTCAAGTTTTCAAGGCAGGTGCCCTGGCTGGAGAGAATGACAAATAAAATGAATGTCAGGAGAGGAGACAAGTGAAGGACAAAGGAAGATGAGGAAAAAGAGATAGAGAAATGGTACTGAAAGAGAACAGAGCTTGGATTCGAACCGACCTGAATTTGAGTCCGCCATTTATTGGCTGTGTGATTCGGGGTGAGTCTCTTTTTCTTCCGAGAGCCTTAGTGGAATAACAATGCCCCCTGTTGGAACCACCGCGGGTTTAGGGCTCGCACACATGTTGTCGTTCTGGGTAGTTCTGGGTGGGCGATTTGTTGGTGATCTGGTAGCTGGTTTTGCGTCATCGTCCGCATCTGCATCCGTGTCTCTGCAGTGTCCGGCAGTGCCTGGGTGGGTGGGAGGTGAGGTCGGAAGTTGCAAGCCTTGGAGCGTTGCCTGCTGGGGACGGAAGGTCTTGGTGGCCACTGACCGCTCCGGTGTCCCAGGCTCCGCTGGCAGGAGGTGGCAGGGAGCCGGCTGGGCGAGATGAGTGGACAGCACAGGCGCAGCGCCCGATGCCGCCGTTCTTTAAAATTCAGGTCATTTCCTCACGGTGGCTCTCCCCGAATGACTTCCAAGTTTTGAAAAAATCTTGCACTGAAACAGCATCGATCTCGATGACTGAGCTTTCTTGCATCCACTCAAATTAGATACCAGCTAGTTCCCAGCTTGAGAGGGAGACGTAAGAGTCCCGGAGACCCGGGAGGGGACAAAATTAGGAGCCCTGACACTGTCTGAAATCGCACAGTGAGCATCAAGAGGCGTTTTTACAGATTGTGTTCGCAGATGTCATCTTTTTTTTTTTTTTTTTGAGACAGTCTCACTTTATTGCCCAGGCTAGAGTGAGTGCTGTGGCGTCAGCCTAGCTCACAGCAACCTCAAACTCCTGGGCTCAAGCGATCCTCCTGCCTCAGCCTCCCAAGTAGCTGGGACTACAGGCATGCGCCACCATGCCCGGCTAATTTTTTCTATATATATATTCATTGGCCAATTAATTTCTTTCTATTTATAGTAGAGACGGGGTCTCGCTCTTGCTCAGGCTGGTTTCGAACTCCTGACCTTGAGCCATCCGCCCGCCTCGGCCTCCCAGAGTGCTAGGATGACAGGCGTGAGCCACCGCGCCTGGCCCCACAGATGTCATCTTTTATGAGGTTTAAAACAAGCTGGTGGGCGGGCAGGACAGAGGTCACGACGCCTATTTCACCTGCGATGGGGACTGACCCCCCAGCCCATCCAACTCACGCTGAGAAGGGCACTGCGCCCCAGTGGGACGGGCGGGGGACAGGCAGAGCCTGAGTGTTGGAGAGCGAGGCCCTCGTGGCCAGCCGTCCCCAGGCTCTGCCGTCCCTCGGTCAATGCGTTCTTCTCTCTCCCCCGACCCCCCGCCTACAGGAGCATGATTTCCCCAGGCAGCTCAGCGACAGCGTGGAGGACCTCGGCCTGGATTTGGGGGCCCTGCAGGGCAGCGAGTACCTCCAGGACTTGGGCCTCAGGGCCCCTTCCCACAGCCCCCCTGGGGATGCCAAGGACAGCGGCCCTCCTGGCGAAGAAGCTAGAGCGGAGTCGCCCTTCTCCAGCTTGGTGGGGTCCCAGAGCCTGCCACCACGGCGGCGCAGCTGGGAGAGGTCCCGGAGCTGCTCGGACAGCTGGCGGAGGTCAGTCCCCTGCCGGCACTAGGATATGCCTCCAGGACAGCGCAGGGGGCCCGGTGGCCAGAGCCAGGTCCCAGGACACACTGCTCGCTGCATCTGCATTGTCCCAGGACACACTGCTCGCTGCATCTGCATTGTTTAGCTCTAGGGGGAGCCCAATGACCCTCTTCCAACTCTTCCAACGTGTGTGCACGAACCTCATAGAGCCCGGGTGGGTGCGCAGATCTTCAGAGCGTGCATGCACGAGCCCAAATCGAAGGCTGCACGCGCACACTGCAGGCACGCATGAACCCACACGTGCACACTTGCCTTCGTACGGGTGTACACCCGTGTTCAACCAGCACACTTGCACACCCTCACCCTATCAGACCCGTGCATATAAACCCAAACATACCATTTGCACACCGCTTGCACGCATATGCAAAAAGCCACCCATGATCAAAACAGAGGTGGGTGTTCAACTGCATGGACCCCACAGTGGCAGCACTGAACAGTGGAGGGGGACACTTTAGCCACCCCCAATCCATGTCCCTCAACTTCTCCCAAGTCACCCCAAATAGAAATCCAGTCTGTGCAAAAATGGTCTGCAGTGCAAATGTAGCTTCAACAAACCTAACCGTGTTCCCCCTTTTCCCCTCCCCGCTGCCACAGATGTTGGGAGGTCTGGAGCCCTCTCTGTGGCCTGCCCACCCCTCTCTGTCCTGGAAGGGCCCCCTTGCAGGTTCCCTCAAGCCCCCAGATGCCTGGGGCAGCAGCCGGGTGGACAAGACCCGCTGATGCCCTGATGTCCCCTCTTCTGCCACCAGGCTCAGCCTTGACGCTTCGCCTGTGGATGAGGGACCCTGTCTCCCTCGGACGCTGGCCAGTCTTGCTCTGAACCTGCCGGCAGAGGGGCTGAAGACGTGGACCCAAGGGTGTCTGCCCGGGGGCAGGGCCCCAGCAGAACCGCCAGGCAAGGTGGGTGTAACCTGCAGCCCCCCACGCCCATACCACACTTCTGGGCCCAGAAGCCAGCACTGTGGGGCAGGCAGGACAGCCGTACCCAGAGCAGGTAGGGTGGGCACGGCCTGTCCGTGGTGTAACCCGTGACCGGGACGTCTCTGAGTTCTGAGATTCCAGCCCAAGCCTGAAGGGCCTTCCTTGTGGCAGGAATCCATGGCAGACGATCCTGGCCACGATTGCAGGCCGTGGGCTGGAGACGAAAGGGAAGGTGACTCCTCAACCTGTAGCTGCAGCCAGGCTTGGAGGATCTGAGTCTACGCTTGGGGTCTGCAGCCGGGGAGGCTCAGCCTCAGACCCGAGATTCCAGCATGCAGTTCTCGGGGCTGTGTCCTGTAGCTGGAACACCTTTGACTGTGGCCGCGGATGACCCTCGGGAAATTCCCAGCTGTGGCTGGAGCCCTGTGGCTCTGCTACCTGGGACTGATGCCCACAGCCTGGGGCTCCTCGGCCAGGACTGCAGCCTGTGGCTGGTGGGAGCCCCTGCCTGTGTGCAGCTGGGGCTGGGGCTGGGGCGAGGGGGTCCCCCTAAGCTCCGTGGACGTGGCCGTGGCTAGGAACCCTCAACCCGGGGCCCGGGCTGCCTTTCCGATTGAGTGAGATGCTTATTTCCCACAGGAATGTGACAACCAGGAGAAAAGAGTGAGGTCACAGTCAGTTCCAGTGTCCTTTTATGAGATCAGCTCCCTGGAAATCTCTCCGGCTTTGGAAGTGTCCACAGCACCTGCTCGAGGTAGCCCCGCCCGGGGGGTTCCCTCATTCGGCCAAGTCTGGGGAAGGGGAGGCCGGGGATCGGGGGAATCCAGAGAGGGGAAAGGACCTTTGGCCTCTGCCCCTACCCCTCTCTCTGGAGGCCTCCAGCCAGGGTGGACTGCCCCGTTGCAATGACCTTGCTCCCTAGAGCACTCTCTCTATCTCTTTCTTTATCTGCCTCTTTGGCTCTGAATCTCTGTCCTAAGATCTTGCCCCTCTCTGGTGTCAGTCCAAGCTGCAGTCTAGACCTGTAGCAAGTCTCTGAGCCTCTGTGGCTCCCTCTATAAGAAGGGGACAAGAAGCGTATCTCAGGCCAGGCGAGGTGGCTCACACCTGTAATCTTAGCACTCTGGAAGGCTGACGTGGGAGGATTGCTTGAGGCCAGGAGTTCAAGAGCAGCCTGGGCAACATAGCGAGACCCCATCTCTACAAAAAATAGAAAAAATAGCTGGGTGTGATGGCATGCACCTGTAATCTCAGCTACTTGGATGGCTGAGGCAGGAGTATCCGTTGAGCCCAGGAGTTCGAGGCTGCAGTGAGCTATGATGATGCCACTGCACTCCAGCCTGAGTGAACGAGCAAAACTCAGGTCTCAAAAAAAAAATCGTTATCTCCTTAAAGCCACTTAGAGAGTTCACTGAGCTCCTATCTGTAAAGTGCTTAGCAGGTTGTGGGCGTCTGGGAGACACTGGGGACACCTCCATCCACCCCCGGCTCTCTGTCCTGTTCCCATGTCTCCTCCCGGAGAGCGCACGCCCCGTCTGGACAGTCTCCAGTTCTGCAGGGGCCCAGGCAGGGTGGGGTCCGGGAGGGCTGGTCTTATGCCACTTACGCCACAGCCTCTCACATCTGTGCCTTCTGGGGTGTGTGGGGGGGTCTGTTTCCAGGCCTAGAGCCCCCAGTGCTGGAGTGCATCGAAAAGGACCACGTGGAGCCAGACCACGTGTGAGTGTCGGCCCCACAGCAGGGGAGGAACCCCACCCCCACCCTGTGCCCCAAGAGGACTGAAGGGGGGGTTCGGGTCGGGGTTGAGACTGGGGGAGGAGGGGTGCAGGGGTGCAGCGTTGGTGGCCCTAGGTGGCCGGGGCCCGCCACCATCCCACTGCCTGGGAGAGATTCTCCATGTAGCCTCTGTGAGCAGACGGGTTGGGGGGGGTCCCAGTTAGGGTCTGCAGTAGGACCCCGGGACCTGGCCGGGCAATCCCAGTTCGTCTTGGGAAAAATGCATATGTCACCCGAGGTGACCGTGGGCTGTTTCGATCCCCCCACCCCACTCCAGGTTGATTGTTCAACAAGTGCTTCAAGAACTCCGGCAGTACCATGGGTAAGTGGGAAGCGGAACAGGTGTGAGGGAGCAGGTATGCGAGACAGGTGTAGGGCGGGCAGGGAAGAATGGAAGGAAAGGGAGGACAGGACACAGATGGGGACAAGCTGCCACTAGCCCAGGCGATACCTTGGAGCAAATGAGAAAAGGTGCCTCTTTCCTGAGACACTGTTACCTGTTAGAAAAGTTTTCTTGAGATGCTGATTTTTGTTCGGCCGAGACACGTTACTGCCCTCTGCTGGAAAATCCTGGTCATAACACCCGCATACACAAGCCCACGATGTCAAAGATGGGTGGGCGCTTAGAGGTGGCACTTGGTGTGCACCTGTATGCCGAAGCCATGCAGGTGGGGAGCTGGGGAGGGGCAAGAGAGGGGGTGAGCTGGGAGGTGAGGAGCTGCAGATCCAAGTATCTGTCCCCTCTGATCCCGCAGGGCCCGGCAGAGGGCTTGCATGTCAGCCAGCCCTGGAGGAGCCCACTCGAACCTCACCTGGTTTGAGTTCCTGTCGGAGTAAGTGCACAGAGCTGTGGCTGGTGGGAGCTGAGGGGTGGAGGGGAGGTGGCACTGGATTGGAGCACGTGTTTGCTGATGGTCCACTCTGCCCGGGCCCCTGCCCTGGGAGAAGGAGCTGCACTGCCCCCCGCCCCAATCAGGGCAATGATGGGAGCTGGTTGGGCTTTCATACACCCTTGGAGGATAGTGGAAGACTTCCTGGAGGAGGTGACAGTTCCAGCAGGGTTCTGGTGGAAGAGCAGGAGTTTGTCAATATGTGCAGATGAGGATGAAGAAAAGAAAACAGAACTGCCCGGCTTAGGCAGAGGCGGCAGGGTAGGGCTGGGAGGACGGCAGGTGGGAGAAGCCAAGGAGTGCAGACTTTATCCTCAAGAATGGTGGGGTTTGGGGCATCACCAGTTCTGGTGACCACAGACAGGGCTGGGCGTCTCAGACTCCCTCCTTCTCTCTCTGTCTCAGTCACTCGTTCATTTAACAAACCTTTACGGATATTTGCAAAGTTCCAGGAGACTTGAGGACTGGAGGAATGGATTCTCCCTGCAGGGAATAGATTCTGCCAGGGCTGGAACCGTGCCTGACTTGTTGGTCACTGACTTCGTCTTAGATATTTATTAAATGTGAATGTGCCAGCCATGCAGGGGAGGCGTGGCAGTGATCTGGCAGAAAATTGGATAGATTTAAAGGCAAATTAGAGATGGAACAGGGATGGGGTGGGGTGTGAATTTGAGGGAGGAATTAGAAGTGAACAGAGGGCCAGGCTTGGTGGCTCACGCCTATAATCCCAGCACTCTGGGAGGCCGAGATGGGAGGATTGCTTGAGGCCAGGAGTTCAAGACCAGCCTGGGCAACATAGCGAGACCCCATCTCTACAAAAAATAGAAAAATTAGCCGGGTGTGATGGTGCACGCCTGTAGTCCCAGCTACTCAGGAGGCTAAGGCAGGAGGATCGCTTGAGCCTGAGTGACAGAGTGAGACCCTGTCTCAAAAAAAAAAAAAAAAAAAAAAGTGAACAGAGCCAGGATTTCCAGGCTGCCGGGGCCTGCAGAGGGACTGAAGCTTGAGATGGTGTTGCATTCCCCTCTGCAAACCCAGTGTCCCGAAGCTCGTGCACCAGGAGGCCACAGGGAGACAGGTTGCGGGTGGATTCCAGGAGTGACCCGCAGGGTTGCCTCAGAATGGCTTGCAGCCTCCTCTAATAGACCTTCCCCGCCACCCCCCAGGAGCGAGGATGGTGCCGGCAAGAACGAGAAGAGTGAGAAAAGCACCGGAGTGAGGCGCAGGCTGAGCTGCCTCCGAAGTCGAGTCACCAGACAGAAGGAGAAGGTGGGGGGCTGGGCTGGAGGGGGCTTCCTCTTCCTTCCCAGCTTGGCAGGGTGCCCTTGACCCAGGCCCCCTGGGATTTTAGCCCTGGGGGGCGGGGGGCTGGGTGCACAGGCATAAGAGGACCAGCCCCTGCAGAGGCCACCCTGAGCCCCGCCTCCGTCCCGTGCAGGTGAAGAGTCCGGTCCAGCTGAAGGAGAAAGGCCAAGATGCTCGGGAGAAGCGGGAGTGTGTCGCCGGGCACCAGCTCGTGCAAGGGACCTTCCTCAGCCACTCCAGCTGCTGCCCCCTGTGTGGCAAGCCCTTCCTGAGCTCCGGTAAGTCCAGTGGCCCCATCCATGCCCCCGAGGGCATGGATCTCAGCTTTTGCCATTGCAAGACTCCTCCTGCATACCTGGACTTGGCCGGGTAAGAGTTTGCAGGGGCGGCTGCGACAAAGTGCCACGTCCCCCATGGCTTGAACGTCGGGCATTTATCGCCTGACATTTCTGGAGGCTGGAAGTTTGAGATGAAGGTGCCAGCAGGGCCGGGCTCCATCTGAAGGCACCAGGGAAGGGTCCGTTCCAGGCCTCTGCCCTGGCTTTGGGCAGCACCTTGTCCTGTGACCGGGTAACTCCAATCTTCACACTGCGGTCTCCGTGTGTGTGTGTGTGTGTGTGTGTGTGCGTGTGTGTGTGTTTGCGTGCCTGAGTCCTAACTTCCCCTGCCTATAAGGACACCAGTCATATTAAATTAGGGGCCCACCCTATGGCAGTGTGACCTCATCTTATTTAATTACATCTTCGCTGACCCTATTTCCAGATGAAGTCACATCCCGAAGGATTTGGGGGAAAAGGGCTGTAACGTAGGAACTGGGGGGTGGGTACAATTGAACCCAGAATAGGCGGTTTTCTGCCTCCAGGGGCTCTTGGCAATTGTGGGGTGAGGGTGGCTACTGTCTCTGCTTAGGAAAGAGTACTGGATTCAAGAAATCCCAGATGGAGATGGCTCTGGTCATTGCTGGTATTTGGAACTTTGCCTTTTTGAAAACGAGCTCTGCTTTGAAAGGAATGGACGGGAGGCGGCGGCAATTGCATGGTAGAAAAAGATGTGCGTGCAGTTTGCAGCGGGAATCCAAACTGTGACCCTGGCAGGCAGGGCTCAGGCTGGTTCAAGGTTCCTGGACCTCAGCACTGTTGACATTTGGGGCCATAGGAGGGGGCTGTCCTGTGCATTTAGAATGTTGAGCATCACCCTTGGGTTTCACCCACTAGATGCCAGTAGCAACGTCCCTCCTCTCCCTCCTCCAGTTGTGACAACCAAAAATGCCTCCAGACATGGCCAAAAGTCCCCCTGCGTGGGTGGGAGCAGAAGTGCCCCAGGCAAGAATCAGTGGGGGCTAATGAAATGGCGAACAGACCTCAGGATAAGCCTAGCCCAAGCAGTGAGGGCATCATCACCATGGGGCAGGTGCCTCCAGTCACCTGAGCTGCAGGTTTTGCATTCCTTGACTTTACCCACAACACCCATGGGTATTTTCCTTCTTTCTCACACATCCCTTTCTGGAGCACTGTTGTTTTGGGTGTTTTTTTTTTTTTTTTTGAGACAGTCTCACTTTGTTGCCCAGGCTAGAGTGAGTGCCGGGGCGTCAGCCTAGCTCACAGCAACCTCAAACTCCTGGGCTCAAGCGATCCTCCTGCCTCAGCCTCCCGAGTAGCTGGGACTACAGGCATGCACCACCATGCCCGGCTAATTTTTTCTATATATATATCAGTTGGCCAATTAATTTCTTTCTATTTATAGTAGAGACGGGGTCTCGCTCTTGCTCAGGCTGGTTTTGAACTCCTGACCTTGAGCAATCCACCCACCTCGGCCTCCCAGAGAGCTAGGATTACAGGCCTCCCAGAGAGCTAGGATTACAGGCGTGAGCCACCGCGCCCAGCCTGGAGCACTGTTTTGCCAGCTGTGGGACTGTGGGTCTCCCGCCAGTGGCTGCTGCTGTCAAGGGTGTTCCCTTTGGGGCTTTCCTTCGGTCGGGCATTCCCCAACCGGCTTTGGAAACTCTGGGCTGGCAGAGTCTGGCTTGGGCTTTGCAAAGTGCCCTACCAGCGTCAGCATTTTGAAGTCCTTCATCTGAAGCAGCAAGTGGCTTCCTGTTTCTCCTGGCATCCTGTTCTCTTCCGCGGGGGTGGGGCGCAAGGTTTGCTGGATCTATCTTAGGCATCTGATTCAAGGGGCAAGTGGGAGGTTGGAAGAAGGAAGGGGTGAAGGCAGAGATTTGGAACCAAAACTGTGCACAGAGCAGGTGCCAGAACCAGGCTGAGCGCGTGTTCTCCCTTGGAAGATGGATACATACCCAATTCTATATTCTTCTAGTTTGTTAGATGCTTTACATTTTTGTTTTATTCATTTATTTAGAGATAAACAAATATTTGTGTGTTTTTAGAGATGTTTTATTTATTTATTTTAGAGATGGGGTCTTGCTCTGCTGTCCAGGCTGGAGTGCAGTGGCATGGTCATAGCTAACCACAGCCTCAAACTCCTGGGCTCAAGCCATCCTCCCACCTCAGCCTCCTGAGTAGCTGGGACTACAGGTGCACAGCAACATGCCTGGCTAATTTTTTAATTTTGGGTGAAGATGGGGTCTCACTATGTTGCCCAGGTTTGTCTAGAACTCCTGAGCTCAAGGGATCCTCCCATCTTGGCCTGCCATAGTGCTGGGATCACAGGCGTGAGCCACCATGCCTGGGTGATACTACATTATCTTTAATCGTCCTGTCTCCCCAGTCTCTCTGATCTGTGAGAGTCTGTCTGTCTTTCCCTATTGTTCACGACTTCAAGATGGACAGTCTTGAGAAATACTAGCCAGGTATCTGGTACAGTATCCCCCAAGCTGGGTTTTTCTGATATTTGCTCATTATCAGACAGGGGTAATGAGTTTGGGGAACCTTCTTGTCTCATCCTATCAGACGGGACATGCTTTCCACAGGACATCCCTGGCAATGTTAACCTTAATCACCTGGTTAAGATAATGTCTGCCAGGTTACTATTTTTCCCTTTCCCTATACTATTCTTTGGAAGTGAGTCACCTCAGTGACTATCAGAGTGGTGTGAATTAAGTTCTCCCCCCTGGAGACATCATGTGATTTTTCAGGACAACCCTTTGAAATCAAGGAAGATTTGAGTTTGTGTAAAAGAAATGATGTGTTAGGCCAGGTGTGGTGGCTCACACCTGTAATCCTAGCACTTTGAGAGGCCGAGGCAGGAGGATCGCTTGAGGCCAGGAGTTTGAGACCAGCCTGGGCAACACAGTGAGACCGCATCTCTACAAAAAAATAGAAAAATCAGCCGGATGTGTTGGCGCCTGTAGTCCCAGCCACTTGAGAGGCTGAGACAGGAGGATCGGTTGAGTCCAGGAGTTTGAGGTTGCTGTGAGCTATGATGACAACACTGTACTCCAGCCTGGGTGACAGCGTGAGACCCTGTCTCAAAAAAAGAAAGGAAGGGAGTTTGGGAAGGGGACGGGAAAAAAAAAAAAAAAAGGAAGGAAGGAAGGACAGAAGGAAGGAAAAGAGAGAAAGGTTGTGGGTAGCACTTAGCATGGTGTGTCCCTCTGCTCTGACCATGGTCCCCCCTCCACACCTGTCCAGAGCCAGAACGCCTGAGTCTCATTCCAACAGGCGGAGAACAGGGACTCTCCAGCTATAACTTGCCACAGGCCTACCTGCCATCAGAGGTATTCAAAGCCGGACAGTAAGTTAAACAGAACAGAGGATGAGTCACACCTCAGGTAATTAGGGAAGGTGGGTCTCCATGGTAAAGCTGGGACGCTCAGTGACAAGCCCTATTGACCTAACACCATTCCAGACAGTCCTGTTCTGGGCTTGACCGTTGAGCTTCTTCACGGTCTGACCCTGTCTACCCTCCACCCTTCCTTCTCTCCCACTACTCAGTCACCCTGAGGTCCGGTGGCTGCCCGTGCACACCACCTGCGTGTTGCTCATTCATTTTCCGGAACTCCCTCTGCTACCTGACTCTTACCCTGTAAGACAAAGCACGGCCCCACCCCCACCCCACCCAGGAAGCCGGAATTAGGCTGCATGAGTCTGAACGTCTCTTTGGCCAGTTGCTCTCAGCTGAGGGCCATTTTGTTCCTGCCCCGGGGGACATTTGGCAATGTCTGAGGCATTTTTGCTTGTCAGGACCCAGGAAGCTACTGGAATTTGGTGGGTAGAGGCCAGAGATGCTGTTCAACATCCTCCAATGCACAGGACGCCCCCAACCGCCACCTGGTTACTGCCTAACTGCCCCACCAGTGGGGGACCCGGCCTGGACAAGTAGCCTCCAGGCTGGGATGTCTGATGGTCCCTGTGGCTGGTGCTGGGGGCAGTCTCTGCCTGTCCACACTTGTCAAACAGCAGCTTGTGTGTAGGTGGGGGTGTGGGGGTCTGGCATGTGTTTGGCATGTGTCTAGCAAGTGTTTCAGCACCTGTGTGGGGGTATCTGACAGCATCCATATTGGGGGTCTGTGGTGTGTATTTTGGGGTGTCTGATGGACCCAGGTGGGATATTTGACATATTTTGTGACACCTGAAAGCTTGTTTTGGGTATCTGATGGCACCTGCTTGCATGTCTAATATGTGTTTGGGTATTTGATGGCACCGTTGTTGGGGGGTCTGAGACCACCTGATAGGTCTATGACTCATTTTCTCCCCAGACCCACCTTTCTGCAGTCTAAGCTGCCCCTTCTTCACAAGCGACAGACCCCACACTCTTCATTTCTTGGACTGTCCCCCCTCAGGCTTCCCGCCACCAGCGTCGTCGTGTTAGCTACCCCCAACCCCAGCGAGCCTCCAGGAGCCCGCTGACTCTCCTCCTCCATGCACCTGTCCATTGCTCCAAGGCACCCCCCAACCCCGCTGACCCGTCCCTGAAGGGTCGCCCCCACCCTCGCCGCAAGCACCCTGCCCCTTCGGTCCCCGCCAGGCCGAGCGGACGCCCCCACCCCGCCCCCGCGTTCAGTGGGACAACGCCAAGTCCCCAGGGTCGACCGCCCCGTCCGTAAGCCACGCCCCGTCCGTAAGCCACGCCCCGCATCGGGGCACGCCCCTCCGGCCCCGCTTCGGGGGGCGGCGCCGCGCATGCGCCGCTCACCCCGCGCGGCTTCCCGCTTCCGGCTCGCACTGCGGGAGACTGTGGATCCGGGGAGGCCCGCGGAGGCGGCGCTGGCGGCGGCGGCGGCTGCCAGAGTGGCCGGGGAGTGGGCGGAGAGCGGCCTGCAGGCGACCCGGCCGAGGTGAGGGCGGCGGGGCGGGCCCGAGGAGCTCGGGGCTCGGGG